GTTTTTCAATGAGATAACCTTTTTCGTACCTATATAAAGTAATTTAATATATGTATTTATTATAAATCACATATAAAAGATTCTTACCAGTCATCCCAAATATTTCTCATTTCAATGACAGAGAAAATTTCATCAGGAGTAAATCCTTGTATATTTAATTCACCTTTAATTAGTGGAATATTTCCATTTTCTGAACTATCCAGTTTCATGTAAATGGAAATTCCACTACTATGATCTAATATCTTTCTCCAATCATGTTCATGAACAACTGTTTTCAGCGTCGATATTGCACCTTCAGCTTTTTTTATGTGGTAAAGAGGTGTCATTTTTAATGGAGCTATCTGATGAATCCCATTTGGATCTTTCTGGCTCAAAGGCCTTTTACGAGATTCTCCGTCAAATTCCATTATATCATAAATTAGTTATTAGTTTTATCATTAAAGAGGAAATAAAGAATGTAGAAAATATTTTTAATAGCAGACGCAAACAAACGATAGAAGAGGTCGTCAAATTTACCAGAGCATTTCTATTGAGAAAAATATCACCTTATAAACAAATAAAGTTATCATATTACATTTTCTTCATTGACACGTGTAAAAAAATAAAAAATATCTAAATTTGGGTGTATTTATAAAATGTGAAAATATCACCGTAAACTGAAGGTAGATCAACGTCTTTATGACTTTTTTTGATTAGGCCATATGGGTGCCGTCAAGGGAAAACCTACAATCGGGCTTTCAAGTATATTTTGTGTACAGTTGGCTATCTATCAGATTTACCATAGACGGCACAGATAACCAACTGTACACAAAATCTACTTGAAAGCCCGATTGTATGTTTTCCCTTGACGGCACCCATATGGGATCCATTTTACCAAATAGGAACATATATAAAAATTTTTACTTTATTTTATGGAACTTTTTATATACTGCATATATTCAAAAATCAAAAAAATTTTGAAAATTGGCTCTTTTAATATGGTACAGATCTGCCGTATTTAATTACAACCTTTATGACATATATGTTGCAATATTACGACATATAGGTTGTAATATTACTCTAGTACAGATACGAATATGTATTACAGTAATAGTTCACATCACTAAGTATGAACTATTCAAACTGAACTCATCCCCAAAATTCCGGGTCGGAATGCATCGGAACCTGGCCGAATGGACCGGAAATGATCAATTTTACCAAGTTCACTAAAAAATTTTACTAATGAAACCATAGTCGTTAATTAAGTAAAAAATTACCCAGCTGATAATTTTACTATAGATCCTCATAGGCAGAAATTCGTCTGATTGGCTAATGTAGATCAATTGAAGGGGTAACTTATTTATATGCTTTAGAGTACTTTTCAAGAACTCAAGTGTTACAGACTTACACAGCAAAAATTTTTGCATATATCGCTTCTTTAGAGTGTCAAAAGACTGCTGTTAAAAATAATCTCTAATAATCTCTAATTTAAGTAGTGTTAGCTTAGTAGCGACTTTTTAACATGGATATAGAAAAGAAACTCCAAGGACCGTGCATTATCAAGATCTGTAAGGGAAAGTCTAGCACTTTCCGAACTGTTACTGAACTAGTTCTGTCTCAGGGAACTAAAAACAAGACTCTACCCAATTACGTTAAAGAAAATAACGTTATTTGCTTTGCTTGTTACAATGCAATTGTCGTTAACACATCTTCTGAATTTCAAAAACATGCATTAGTTTCTCATTCTAATATTGAGGCAGAAATCTCTAACCAACCTACTTTTTTGTCTTTTTCACAGGCCGTAGAGCTGATTACAAACGTTCTTTATGAGAGAGAACGTAATTCGTTGTTTACAATTTGGGATTTTGAAGAATTTCGTATACTTATAGAATCAAAAGACAAACGAATGATGCCTTTCTTTGACGAATTATTGCTGTCAGCTAATCCAGGAACAAAAAACAAAAAAATACAATGGATAAAGTATAAAACAATTATTATTTTATTTGTGGTATTAGAAACAAATTTGTTAACAATACAAAAAGAGACTTAGAAATGTTTTTAAATTCTACTGGGACACCTGATTCAACAATTGATGCCCTTGCTGCATTAGGCATAACAATAACATCACGTTCAATTGCCTATCACAAGAATTCTGTGTCTAAAAATTATTCAGAAACTGTAAAGTCAAATCTTGTAAATAGTACTAACAATGCTTTAATTTTAAATATAGACGATTATCATAGCATCCATACTAAAATGATGCCTAATACAACCACAACATCAACCACAAAACATCTTGCCACCATTCTGCTTAACCCAATCAAGAATCAACCACCAATACCAAGACAAGACATCCATAATCTCGTGTTGGTTAATGCCTCGTTAATAAAAACTGAAATCGATAATTACTTTATGTCGGCATATTCGCTTTCTCATAACCGACGTTAGAGATTTCGCTTCGTAACTGATGAAAAAAAGCTTGAAGAGTTGACTGTTCATAGTTACGATGTTCGTTTAAAAGAAAAAAGAAGCACAAGATTGATTAAAGATGCTATACTTGTAGCTTGTAAAGACTAGTCTTCATTCTATTAAAGATTATATTAAGGCTATTAATGTTGCTATGTCTACTCCAACAATTAATAGACATATTGAAGAAGGCAACGTTATTTCAGTCGTCGCTAACTGGCTGGGTCAAATATTTTTAATAACAGCTATTTCACGTTATCTTGTTCATGGTAGCTCTCCTGGAATTATTAACATTATTTTATCATTTCTTTTAATGCTAGGTCCTTTGCATGTTTTTTTGAATAGCCATGAATTAGTATTTCTGCAATATCAGCCATTTTTCTTCGAAATGTATAAGTATATTTTTGGGAAGAAAAAAAAGCTTGCTAAAAAGCCAAAGCCGTGGTGCATAAATTTATTATTGGAACTTTTGTGTAGTACATGGCAAGAAATTGCAAAGATGGTTGAAATAAAATTTGGCTATGCGTGTAAGGATGCAGAGTACATAATGCTTAAGGACCTGTTGGATAACACGGTTCTATTAGTTTTTGATATTTATGCTTCATTTTTTTGTTCTGGTGATTTTAACTCATATATTGAATCTTGTTTTCGAGTTTGGGTACTTTTTTTTAGATTCCATCGTAAGAATTACACCAAGACACCTTTAATGTTTCTCTCGGATATTTTTTATTAGAATTCAAAAAATCATCTGATTCTAGAAACAATAAGCTCTGAGTTGCCGAAATTTACTGATACTCCTGTTGAAATCTTTCATAGTCTTCTACGTC